CAGTTCAGCAATTCAGAATTTGAGCAGTAGTCTAAGTCCTGAGATATTACTTCCCTCAGTGAGCAAAAAAACTACCAAACAATGCGAATAACTCACTTTGGGCTCTCAGAGCTGATGTCAGGGTTCATTGGCAACTTAAATGGCTTGAGGATGGAACTCTCTCACCTGATCCATGACTCCGGTCAGGCAGCTGATGGTCACTCTGTAGATGGAAGGACCGCCAGTGTTCCTGTGGTTCCTCCTTCAGAGATCACTCTGGACAGCAACACTCTGGATCGCTGTCCACAGGACAGTACACCAGACTTATTAGCGGTGACAGCTGTCGGCATTTTTTCTTCCTCCACTCTCCCTCTCTCTGGCCTGACCCGGTCCTCTGGTTTCTTGTACAGCCAGCCTTCTTCTCACACCTGCACTCCAACTCTCCCCACTCACTTCTTGTCATTGGGTTCCCGGGCATCTGTATTTATTTACCTCTGCCCACACTCCAGCTCCTCTGGGAAATGTAGTTTGTTAGCTCACTGCCCAACAGCAAAGTTCTGCAGTCAGCCTACGAATCCCAAAGATCTTAATAAAAATATACTATATGAGAAACCACATGTCCTTTACTAGTCATTGCACAGCATTGCCTTCTCATAGAGATCTTTTTGCTTTTTGATAGCAGGTTTTCTTTGAAAGAAAAAAACTCCTTGCCATTTCTATCATAGTTTTCATTTAACCTGCAGAGAAGGTCCAGAAAGAAATTGACACTGTGATTGGACAAGATCGCTTTCCCTCTGTGGAGGACAGGAACAAGATGCCATATACAGATGCTGTCATACATGAAATCCAAAGATTTGCCGATATCGTTCCAGCAGGTTTACTTCATGCTACCAGCAAAGACATCACCTTCCGAGGATATAATATTCCTAAGGTAGGGGTATTTATAAAAATGTCTTTTATAGAGGAATTGCCAAGTGATCATCTCCCAACAAAATTAATTGAGATGCGTTGATTTTGTCAGTTGTGTATTGGAAACAATTTAAAATAACACTATTTATGTTTTTAAAGAGATCCTGTCACCTTCAGGATCAATTGGCAGGATCTTTATAAAATATTACTCTCCAGATTACCTTTTCTTCCTTCTCCAAGGATCCCCAAATTCTCCTCTTTTATGGACGTTGCTGCCAAATACCTGGTGTTTCTGGCTATAGGGACATGTGACCCCCTCCCATGATGTAGTTCCCATGGCCTATCACAAGGTCTGAGAATTGTTACATAATGGAGGAACTTGGGTAACTCCTCCATCTGAGATTTGACACCAGCTCAGGTATATTGGCAGCTGCAATGGTGGAAGGAATGGTGGAGTTTGGGCAAGGTGACAGGTTCTCTTAAACTGCAGGACATGCTGCAGTTCAGGTTGCTAAACCCTAAGCTAAAGAGTAAAATTTAAAATACATTTCCAAATCTCCAGTTAGAAATTTTGATAATTATGTTTTGATTTTATTTTTATCTTATTTTCAACTTAGGGCACCTTGGTGGTTGTTACCCTCACTTCTGTTTTGAAAGATCCCAAATTCTTTAAGAATCCTACCAACTTTGATCCTGCACACTTTCTTGATGAGAATGGGGTCTTTAAGAAGAATGATGCTTTTATGCCATTTTCTGCAGGTACAGTACTAGAGAATTATTCAAACATTAAAGGCAATCCATTGTAACTGTAACATAAACAAGCCAAGAGGTAATTATTACAATTTAAATTATGTTGCCATTGCTCCTAAAAATATGAATAGTTTCTTCTTGTTTAGCTATACTACTGTATGTACCTTCTGTGTGTAAATGAGGACACTTAATTAATTCTGCATATACAGTCAGTGCTTCTTGGTTAGAAGCAAACCACAATGGATTTGAATGTGCTTATTTTTACCTGTAGACATAAAATTTCAGGGAAGGTGGGCATGCCATCGAGCAAAACCTATTCAGATCTTCAGCCCTGGTTTACACTGATGCAGTGAGGAACTTGCAGAGTTTTCAGTGCGAATTCTGCACTGCATCAGAATCGCACCCTGTTCATGCGAACTGCTGCGGGTGTGTATGTTAACAAGACCCCAAAATCAGTTCGCAAAATGTGGTGCGATGTGCAGAATCGGATTGCATAGGTGTGAATACCCATGCAACCTGATTCTAGTGTGGACCAAAAAAAGGGTCCTGCACGTTTTTGGTGCGGGTACGGTGCAAATAGAGCCATACAAAATGTATGGCTCCAATTGCACTGCACACAAATCACATGTGATTTGCACAGGAATCTGGTGCGGTTCCTGTGTGAATCACATGCGATGCACCACATGTACAGTTGTGTTCAAAATAATAGCAGTGTGTTGATAAAAGTGAATAAAGCTCAAACTCCTTCTAAAAGCTTTTATTTCCATACACACAAATGCATTGGGAACACTACACATTCTATTCCAAATCAAAACATGAAGAAAAATAGATCAAATTTGTGTTGTTCTTCTAAAAAAATTGAAGAAAAGTGAATATTAGACTGTTCAAAAAAAATAGCAGTGTTTGTATTCTTCTTTACAAACTCAAACATTCACTATATAAACTGAAAAATGTTTGAAGATTTTGCTTTCCTTTGAATCACTTAATGAATATTTCGTTGTATAAGCACTGTTTCTGAGAACTGCTGTACATCTGTGTTGCATGGAGTCACCCAACGTCTGGCACCTGTGAACAGGTATTCCAGCCCAGGATGATTGGACTACATTCCACAGTTCTTCTCTATTTCTTGGTTTTGCCTCAGAAACTGCATTTTTGAAGTCACCCCACAAGTTTTCTATTGGATTAAGATCCAGGGATTGGGCTGACTACTCCATAACGTCAATCTTGTTGGTCTGGAACCAAGATGTTGCACATTTACTGGTGTGTTTGGGGTCGTTGTCTTGTTGGAACATCCATTTCAAGGGCATTTCCTCTTCAGCATAAGGCAGCATGACCTGTTCAAGTATTCTGATGTATTCAAACTGATCCATGACCCCCAGTATGCGATAAACAGGCCCAACACCGTAGTATGAGAAACATCCCCATATCATGATGCTTGCACAACTATGCTTCACTGCCTTCACAGTGTACTGTGGCTTGAATTCAGTGTTTGGGGGCCGTCTGACAAACTGTCTCCCGCCACTAGACCCAAAAAGAACAATCTTACTTTCATCAGTCCACAAAATGTTGCACCGTTTCTCTTTAGGCCAGTCAATGTGCTCTTTGGCAAATTGTAACCTCTTCAGCACATGTCTTTTTTTCAACAGTGGGTCTTTGCGGGGGCTTCTTGTAGATAGCTTGGCTTCACATAGGCGTCTTCTAATTGTAACAGTACTCACAGGTAACTTTAGACCTTCTTTGATCTTCCTGGAGCTGATTGTTGGCTGAGTCCTTGCCATTTTAGCTATTCTTCTATCCATTCGAATGGTAGTTTTTTCGCTTTCTTCCATGTCTTTCAGGTTTTGGTTGCCATTTTAAAGCATTTGTGATCATTTTAGCTGAGCAGCCTATCATTTTCTGCACTTCTTTATATGTTTTTTTCCCCTCTCTAATCAACTTTTTAATCAAGGTACGCTGTTCTTCTGAACAATGTCTGGAACAACAAATTTTCCTCAGAATTTCAGAGAGAAATGCACTGTAACCAGCATGTACAACATTTGCTGCCTTCCTTCCTTAAATAAGGGCAATAATTGCCACCTGTTTTTCAAAGAATGAATGACCTCACTAATAGAACTCCACACTGCTATTATTTTGAACATGCCCCTTTCAATTAGTGATTCAATTACACAGAATCAGCAGCATGCATGTCATGACTCTTGGGTCTGTTGGATTTCTATTACTCTACTACACCTGCTAGTAAATTATTTTCCATGTAGAAATATCATTTCTACCAAGAACAGTGATTCATCAGGTTAGTGATGTCTGACTGCTATTATTTTGAACACAACTGTATGTGAACCCAGGCTCAATCAAATACAGGCTCAATCAGCAAAGGTGTTGATCAGATTAGCTATATTTTTTCATTTGCACAGTTTTAGATAGAGGAAATATGAATAGAAGGCAAGACTTGACTGTCGTTTAGATAAAAAGTTCACCCTACCTAGGAAAAACTAAATTTCAAACTCTCTAATAAATTTTCTCTGTAAGATAGTAAAAATGATACCTATTAGTCCACTGTGAATCTCTCCTTTTGCTGCTTTGCTTCAGATTGCCTCCATACATCCTGGCTCTACCCTACGTGTTTTATGACATGGCAAGGACGCGTTTTGTGTTTTATGTTTACATACTTTGCACGCTGTGCCTGAAGGAGGTCCTATTTGGATAGCTATGCTGACTGCTTGGCGGAGCTTGGGTGAATGCCTCTTTTAAAGCTTTTGAGTGCATTTCACCACTTATGGTCTGAGGGTCAATAAGCTTTGATAAGCTGCAAAGCTTTTCAATGGGGGTGTAGAGCACTTGATGTCACTTTCTTTGTTGAGCTTAGACACTTTGCTGTTGCTTGTTGGAATGTCATCTGGAGGATTCTTCTCTCAGATAACATCTGATGATGCCTTTGGTTGGCCTCTTCCTTTAAGAATCAGAGTTTTTGAACTCTTTTGGACAATATTAACCCCATACTGTCTGGATTGATGGTGCACTTTTTTTTTTATCTTCCAGAGAGATTGTGGACAGGACCACAGCCTCTTGACAATCATTATGTGCTGTGCAACCTACCTATTTACCAAACACTACAGTCAAGTCAGATCCATCTTGTGAATAACCCCTTTTGATTAGTGGTGTGTAATCAGTGTGTTAGCATGGTGTGTTAGCATGGTGTACATAGTCACAAAGTCTGCCCCGAAGGGGCTGGAAAGCATTTAAAGAGCAGAATTAGGTGTTTCCCAAGCACCAATTTCCCAACAAGCAAGAGAACTGTAACCTGCAGGTTGTACATGTGTTGCTATCTTAAAGCTGAATTTTTTTCCCCCTTTTCTTCACCTTAGGCAAGCGTGTATGTGCAGGAGAAGGTCTGGCCCGTATGGAGCTTTTCTTGTTTTTCACTACTGTACTCCAGAGGTTTACTTTGAAACCAACTGTGGATAAGAAGGAAGTAGAGATCACCCCAGAACCCAAAACCAATGCCTCAAGAGCTCGGAATTATACAATGTTTGCAGTTCCTCGGTAAAATACCCTTCATGCAACATTTAAGAGATGGTGTCATAGTGTAGAGGAGGAGAGACGTGCCACAGAGACAAACATAAATATTTGTTTTCTTGAGGTATAAAAATGATTACATTATTTTAAATTATGAGTAATCATTAGATAATAAAATGAATAGCCTTTAATTATACTCTATTTTTTCATATAATTTATTGTGCATTGTATTTTGTCTGCCAGATCCTAAGCCTACCATTTTGTTAGTCAGCTCATTGCTTCAAAGATGTGCATTCAAAATTCTGCATATATATATTCAACTATAGTTTAGAAAAAACAGAATTTTACCCGATAACACAAGATTACATGAGTGACCATTAAAAATTAGCTGTTCATGTTGTAACACCCAACTGCAGGGGACATCATGTGGCCAACTTACTCTCAAAAAATAACACAGCTGGTGCATACAATATTCATGCTATTCTGGGTGCTTGGGCTGGAAAAGTATTTATTAACGACTCAAGCTTAAAAAAAAAAAAAACACTTTATTTTCCAAAATGGTGAAAACACTCTTGGTTAGTTTTATAATGTACAATATAAGTGATTTTTCATCCTGAGAACATCTCAACCCAAACTCCACGAACTACAGTATATCGATAACATATCTTCATTTTTTTCAGAGGCTGAAATGGGAGAGGATGAAAAAACCCTTCCTGTTACATTAAAAAAAGAAGCCATTAAAGTGGATTAAACTGCATCTGAGCACCACAAACTGAAAATGTTTTTTAATTCATTTTTTAATATTGAAAGCAAATTCATCCATCCCTGCCTCTTTGCTTTATTTTGTTGAGAAATCACTTTGAAACCCCCCCCCCCCCCTAACATTTTTGGCCATGGCCATCTTGAGTAAGGGCAGATGATTCATGATACATATACTTCCTGAAATTCATAAAGCATTATAATGTAGCATTTACTTCCTGGAATCCATGAAGAATAAAGCCAGCCACTCATACTCGTAATGAAAAAAATCTTTTATTGGCTACATATAAAATGACACTGCTTTTGAAGAAGGCTCTACAGGCTGAAACGTGTTGCTTTTTGAAGCTGTGTCATTTTATATGTAGCCAATAAAAGATTTTTTTCATTAAGACTACAATGAGTGGCTGGCTTTATACTTCATGGACTTCCACTTCGAGGGATGAATGCCACAGTCAGGGCACCGGTCTCCAGTCTCTGAATTGGGAATAAAGCAGTAGAGCTAGGGTAAGGTTGTTTACTGGAATCCATCTGCTCAGGCATGCAGGCAGGAGGGTGTGCTTAGCTAAGAAAACCCATCCTTCCTTCCTGAAGACGCCTGGGATGTATGGCATCATTTGTTTAGGCATGGAAACCAGGAAGCAACTGAAAAAATGTGAAAGAAAGTTTAGAAAAAGTACTTATAACACACTTTCCCATCTATTTATTAACTACTTGCCAACTGCGCTATAGCCCAATGACGGCTACAGTGTGGTTGTCCAGTTCTGGGAGGGCATCATATGACATTCTCCCAGAATGCTCCCTCTCTCGCGCCCCCACCCGGCGCTGTCCATGATCGCTGTGTCCTGTGGACACAGCTGATCACATTATGAGGTAAAAGGCCAATCACAGTGGCCTTTTACCATGTGATCAGCTGTATCCAATGACACAGCAGATCACCGAGTAAATACAGTTGCTGGTTATCGGCTGCACTTTCCTCACGCTGTCACAGCATGAGGAAATTACTGCCGATAACCGGCAACTGTCACAGAGGACATCCGCATTGATCATCAGGGCACTACAGTGCCACCCAGCAATTGCGCTCATCAGTGCCATCAGTCAGTGCTGTCATTCAGTGCTGCCAGTCAGCTCCACCCATCAGTGCCACCTATCAGTGCCCAACATTGCTGCATATCAGTGCCATTATCAGAAATCAAACACCCAGCTACCTGACCAAACAAAACCAATAGATTACTGCTCCACTAACTATATTGAGACAAAAAAACTAAATTCAACCTAGCAGCCTAACTTGAAGAGAGCACTTCATATACTTTATTAACTCTAAAAGCTCCAGGATACATCTGTACTGCATACTTACATCAGTCCAGCTTAGCACAAGGCGTTTGCTGATTGGATGGGGTTTCATTGGATCACATGTGAGCCCCACACACCGTTTTTTTTAAATTTAATTTAATTTCCACAGTATTACAAGCAGCACTGGGAAAAAAAAAACAAACCCTTATCTACTCTGCGCTTAACAGCATCCTTGAGCACAATCCATTACAGGGTTAACAAATTCGGTCACAAAGGCCAGGATCCTGTAGCTCTCATACCAACAGCACAAGGAATTCTGAATAGCTTGAAAGACAAAAAAAAACAATGATTTTTCTCAATAGTACTTATCTTTTACTGTGACAAGTTAAAAACAAATACAGTCACATGAATTAGTGAAGGGAAGTATGTGATGAACAGTCAGGTGTTGGAATGGAGCCAGTGTCAGGGTCAGCGGTACAGCTATAGGAAAAGCTGAGTCTTCCTCCTTTCCCCCCATAACAGACTTGCAGACTGGATGAAGATAGAGCACCCGTGTTTATGGAGTACTCTGTGCTCAATGCTGCTCTACTTTCTGGCATTTATGGCAACGAGTTTTAAGATAAACTGTATGCTTTCCCGACATGCACAGAAACGCGTTGCTCTTTAGCAAATACTGAGCAGTGCTGTTAAAGTGATTGCAAAGTCTAATTTTTTTTTTTTTCTTTTTAAATAACAAACAGGTTATACGTTCCTGCAGGTCCCCCACCTGCAATCCTGGCTCCTCCACTTCTTGATATGCCACCATAGGAAGCCGCATACTAGTGTGGTACACCTGTGTGTGATCCTTTCCATTGATAGACAGAGTGGCTCGGCCCTGCCCCCTCATCACAAAATTTGACTGACAGCAGTGGGAACCAATTGCTCTCAGCCAAGCCTGTGAGTGTGGGGAGCAGAGGAGAGAGCAGCTGCAGAGAGGCACAGCACTGGATCGAGATTGGGCTCAGGTAAGTATTAGTGGGAGTGAGGGAGCAAAACTTTAACCTAAACATTTTTTGACTTAATGCAAGGAATTAATTAACTGCTTGCCCTCTGCCCCATAGCAGAAATACTGTACATGTACAGTGAGGAACAGGAGTATTTGAACACCCTGCAATTTTGCAAGTTCTCCCACTTAGAAATCATGGAGGTGTCTAAAATTCACATTGCAGGTGCATTCCCACTCTGAGAGACAGAATTAAAAAAAAAAAAATTCAGGAAATCACATTGTATGATTTGTAAAGAATGTATTTGTCTTGCACTGCTGAATGTAAGTATTTGAACCCCTGAGAAAATCAGTGTTAATGTTTGCTACAGAAGCCTTTGTTTGCAATTACAGAGGTCAGACATTCCCTGTAGTTCTTGACCAGGTTTGCACACACTGCAACAAGGATTTTGTCTCACTCCTCCACACAGATCTCCTCTAGATCCGTCAGGTTTCGGGGCTGTCGCTGAGCAACACTGAGTTTCAGCTCCCTCCAAAGATGTTCTATTGGATTTAGGTCTGGAGACTGGCTAGGCCACTCCAGAACCTTGATATGCTTCTTACGGAGCTACTCCTTGGTTATCCTGGCTGTGTGCTTCGGCTCGTTGTCATGTTGGAAGACCCAGCCACGACCCATCTTCAATGCTCTGACTGAGGGAAGGAGGTTGTTGCTCAAAATCTCACAATAAATGGCCCCATTCATCCTCTCCTTAATACAGTGCAGTCGTCCTGTTCCCTTCGTAGAAAAGCACCCCCAAAACATGATGTTACCACCCCCATGCTTCACAGTAGGGATGGTGTTCTTGGGATGCAACTCATCCTTCTTTTCCTCCAAACACGATGAGTGAAGTTTAGACCAAAAAGTTCTACTTTGGTCTCATCTGACCACATGACTTTCTCCCATGCCTCCTCTGGATCATCCAGATGGTCATTGGCAAACTTCAGAGGGGCCTGGACATGTGATGACTTGAGCAGGGGAACCTTCTGTGCAATGCATGATTTGAAACCATGACGGCGTAGTGTTCTACCGACAGTGACCTTTGAAACTGTGGTCCCAGCTCTCTTCCTGTCATTGACGAGCTCCTCCCTTGTACTTCTGGGCTGATTCCTCACCTTTCTTATCATCAGTGATACCCCACGAGGTGAGATCTTGCATGGAGCCCCAGTCCGAAGGAGACTGAGAGTCGTCTTTAGCCTCTTCCATTTTCTAACAATTGCTCCAACAGTTGATCTATTTTCACCAAGCTGCTTGGCAATTGCCCCGTAGCCCTTTTCAGCCTTGTGGAGGTCCACAATTTTGTCTCTGGTGTCTTTTTACAGCTCTCTGGTCTTGCCCATGGTAGTAGTTGGCGTCTGACTGAGCTCTTTAAAGACACCTGTCCACCCCAAAGTCAGACAGGTGCTACTAAGTTAGATTAATGAGTGGAGTAGAGGTGGACTTTTTAAAGGCACAGTAACAGGTCTTTGAGAGTCAGAATTCTTGCTGTTTCTTAGGTGTTCAAATACTTCTGTTCAACAGTGCAAGACAAATAAATTCTTTAAAAGTCATACAATGTGATTTCCTGAATTTTTTTTTTATTCTGTCTCTCAGAGTGGGAATGCACCTACAATGTGAATTTCAGACCCCTCCATGATTTCTAAGTGGGAGAACTTGCAAAATCGCAGGGGGTTCAAATACTTCTGTTCCTCACTGTATACATACATGATTTGCATGTATATCAACTAGGGATTTCAATCACCGGGTCCTGGCCAGCGATTCCCTGTCGACACCCGTTGATCATCGGGGAAAGCTGACAGGAGAGAGACCTGTGTATATACAACACAGATCTCTCCCTTGTCAGCATGGACATGCTGCTTTGTATGTCTCTGCACAGCAGAGAGGTACACAACAGCATGTCTCCAAAATAAAACACAGCACACAGTTCGGCTCCATGCACATGGGGTGTTTTGACAACGCTGGT